AGATAGGAAATTAATTTATTTAAACCTCAATTTAATGTAAGTGGGAAACTACGTTCAATATAAATAAACATTTCAATTAAAATGTTAACGTTATCAACTGGATTTTAAAATCATTATATAGAAAGGTAAAATTTAAAGGATAAAAAAATGCATACTATGCAACACTAATTCAAAGAAAGTTAGTATAGTCATACTTAGTTTAAAATAGACTTCAAGCCCTGGCTGGTGTAGCTCAGTGGATTGAGCGCAAGCCTGTGAAGCAAAGGGTCGCCGGTTCGATTCCCAGTCAGGGCACATGCCTGGGTTGCAGGCCAGGTCCCCAGTAGGGGACACATGAGAGGCAACCACACATTAATGTTTCTCTCCACTCTTTCTCCTTCCCGTCCCCTCTCTCTAAAAATAAATATAAATAAAATAGACTTCAAGACAAGAAGCACTGTCAGAGATAAAAGGGACATTTTATGATGATAAAGAGTCAATTTGGCAGGAAGATAGAACAGTGATAAATTTGTGTACATGTATTAACACAACTTCCTAATATGTAAACACAGAACCAAAACTGACAAATCCGCAAGTGTGGTGGGGCATCCTAACACATCTCTCTCAATAGCTTACGGGGACAGCAGATAAAAACTTTAGTACGAATATAGAAAATTTGGACAAAATGATTCACAAACTCCACCTGACGCAGCAGTTAGAGGACAGTCTTTTCAACTCTGCACAAGAAGCTCACCCACACTGACTATGGGGGGTGGAACGATGGCCCCCAAAGGCGCCTACGTCCTGATCCCGGGAACCCGTGAATATGTAACATCACATGGCAAAGGGGAATAATGTCACAGGAGGGACTGAAAAGGACATATTGGCAGTTACAAAGCAGTCACGGGGATGTGAAGTACAGCGTGAGGAATTATATTCTCCATAACATTGTAATAACTGTGTGTGGTGCCAGGTGGGGACAGGAGATATCAGGGGAACACTCTGTAGGTGAAATAAATGTCTAACCACTATGCACTACACCTGGAACTAATGTAATATTGAGCAGCCACTGTCATTGAAAAATTAAACAAGTGAGTACAGAGTGAAAAAGGTTGCTAATCAGAACAAACACGAGAAAAGGAGATTAACCTTATTAATCTGGGTTGTGCGGATGGACCCAAAGTATAACCCCGTGTCCTTGGACGTGGAAGAGGGAGGTGGAGGAGTTTCTGTCAGGGGAGGTGGGAAGTCTTGAGATGCGGGAAGAGGGAAGGAGGCGGTTTGCCCTGGAGCCTCTGGAGGGACAGAAGAGTCCCGAGGGCACCTCGACATTAGCTTAGGGACACCCATTTAAGACTTCTGACTCCGGAAGTGTAAGATCAATTTAGGCTGCTGTAAATCACTGTTTTTCCCATCTCTGTCTGTGACGTGCAGCTCACTGCAGTCGCTGGCTCATTCCAGGGTATCCACTGTGAGCAATTGTACACAGCAGGAACCAGGCATGACAGGATGTCGCTGCAGCACAGGCTAAGTCTTGGGGACTGACAAGAGCCGAGTCTGAAGAAGCAGGGCAGGACCCTGTCCACCTCACGCATTCGCTCACACATTCATTCATGAGACGTTCACCAAGCACCGATTCTCTGCGAGATCCAGTATGGACCCCAGGGATGTAGAAATGAATAGGACAAAGTCCTTCCTCTCAGGGAGCTACCAGGAGAAGACAGAGAACTAAACTCAGGGAGGCCCATTAGAAAGCGGTTGCAGTAATACAGGTGGGATCCTGGTTCTGTGTCCATGTGGGGGGCCATGACCATGACCAAAGGGTCTGTAATCTGGACAGAGTCACAGCTGAGAGTCAGAATTGGTGGACTTGTAAATGACCAGAGGTGGGTCACGGTGGGGAAAGTTGAAGGATGAGACCCCGGTTTCTGACGGAGGCTGCCGGGTGAGTGGGGGCACCACTCCTGGTGGTGGTGATGCAGGGAGAGCAGGTTGGAGGGAGATGATCAATTCTGTTTGGGACGTACAGAGTTCGAAGGGCTTCTGGGACATTCTGGTGGAGATGGCCAGAAGGCAGTGGACGTGCAGGTTTGGAGCTCCAGTAAGAAGTCTGATCTGGAGAGATCAGCGCTATCAGAATCCAGGGCATTGACTAAGGGACGCCGGCGTGGATGGGGTACCCGAGGGACAGTGCTTAAGGCAGCAGTTCTCAACAAGGTGTGCAGAGGGCACACAGCTCCCGGGAGAGGATTTGGAATCACCGGAGGGGCTTTTGTTGTTTTTAAGATTTTATTTATTTTTAGAGACAGGGGAAGGGAGGGAGAAACAGAGGGAGAGAAACACGGATCGGCTGCTTCTCACACACCCCATCGGGCAGCCTCGCCCACAGCCCAGGCCGGTGCCTTGACTGGGATCGAAGTGGCGACCTTTCAGCCCCACTGAGCCACACGGGCCAAGGCTCCTGAGGGGCTTTTCCAAAATACACATCCAACCCTCGATTCCAGTAAACACCCAGGAAGTGTGACCAAGGGAAGCTTTCGCTGATGAGGAGGCGACCTCGGGTAGGAAGAATTTTGAGGCCACTGGTGAGAAGGGAAGAAGGCCAGGGGGGCACAGAGGCAGAGGAAGAAAAGCCCAAGAGGAGCCGGTAAGGAAGAGGTTGGAGGAGACCCAGGAGAGTGAGGCGCCCCCACGTTAGGACAGAGCAGTGACACCCGGCCGTGAGTGTGTGCAGGGGCTTGTGAGAAACGCAGCTCCCACCCCTAACCATTCTGGTGCTGGGGGCCCTGGAACCTGCGTTGTAAAGAGTTCTGGCCGTGGCCAGGTGGCTCCATTGGTTGGGGTGTCATCCTGTACCAAAAGGTTGTGGGTTTGATACCCGGTCAGGGCACATACCTGGGTTTTGGATGCCATGCCCTGTCGGAGTGTGTATGGGAGGCAACCAATCAATGATTCTCTCTCACATCAATGTTTCTGTCCCTCTCTTTCTCTCTCTTTCTTCCTCTTTCTCTAAAATCAATTAATCTTTTAAAATATAGCCTTAGATGAGGATTAAAAAATATTTTATTAAAAAAAATTCTGAAGGCACTACCTCTGCAGTACAGAATTTCAAGAAGAGGAGTGTGGTCCAGGAAGATAAAGCCTAAATTGGTCTGTCGGGTTCCACGCCTCAGGGGGTCATTGGTAACCATGGGAGAGAGAATTTTGGCGGCGGCGTGGGAGTGGAAGCCAGATTGCAGTGGGCTGACAGTGAATGGGAGGTGAGGAAAGGGAGACAGCGATTGCGGACCCCCTTCAGAGAAATGTGGGCGAGAGGCGGAGGCAAGAGCTTCGCCCCCCTCAGGCCACCGTCCATCTCCTGCAGAAAGTTGGCAGAGATTTCCGGAAATGTGGGCTGAGTCAGACATGCCCAGACCCTCGGGGTGCTAGGAGGGGAGGGCCCAGCACACCTCTAGCTGCCAAGTCTCAAACTAAACCACTGGGCCTGCCTTCTGTCCACCCACTCCAAGTCCAGGCCACCATGGTCACCATCCAAGTGGTCTTTCCACAGCCCAAATCCAGCGTGGCGCTGCTGGCCTTGAAACCCTCTGACAGCTACCGTCCCCAACTCTCGCCTCCCCCCAGGGAACACCCGAATCTCTGAACCTGGCATTCAAAATCCTTCTGACTTTTTAAAAAATCCTCAATCGAGGATATGTTTATTGGTTTTAGAGAGAGAAGGAGAAGAGAAAGAGAGAGAAATGTTGATTAGTTGCCCCCCCCCCCCCGTATGCGCCTCGCACCAGGGATCCAAACTGCAACCTAGGTACGTGCTCTGACTGGGCATTGAACCTGCAGCCTTCTGGTGTACGGGATGACACTCCGGCCAACTGAGGCACCAGGCCAGGGCCCTTCTGACTTCTGTGTCCCCACTTCACTCTGCATCTTCGCCTCTTCTCTCCCACCATCACTTCCCACTCGAACCACATTCGCCCTCCACACAGGCCTCAAGGAGCCACCAAGAAGTTCCGCAGAGAACTGTGCTCTCCACCCTCCTTAGCTCACCGGTCCTGTACAGACTCAGCCAACTTAAGCACCACCTTCTCCGAGAGTTAATTACTCCCTCCTCGGAGAGAGCCAGCACCTTGCCCACTCCTCTTCCAGTGCGCAGGTAGGATGAAATAGTCTGTGTCTCTTTTGTTGACACATTGGTCCCTTCACTGGACTGTGCCTTCTCTGGGACCAAGGTCCTCATCTTATTCCTCTCTGAATCTCCAGAACTTGGCTGGGGCTGCATGCCCAGTAGGTGCTAGTGAATGCGAAGTGAGGTTGCACCTGAGTACCCACCATAAGAAGGAAATGTTTAAATTGTCAGTACCCCACTGAACCTTTGATCCACCAATCAAATACCTGAATCTGCAGGTTCTTGTCTCTTCCAGAGCTGCATTAATTTCCCTCCTAAGGGGAAGAAAGGCAGGCTCTGGAACAAGTGGTGGATTAGGTGGTACGGTGTCGCCTAGGGACTAGGATTAGGCAGCTACAGGAGGGTGTGCCCCGGTGAAAATATGTAGTTCATTCTCCAGGAGCTTTACCTTGATTCTTTCCTTTAACAAGTTACTTAGCCTCTTTGTACCGTAGTTCAGGTGGGGTTACGAATCCTATTATCTAAAAGAGTTGTAAAGCCCTACATAAATGCTAGTTATTGTTAGGCTTTTGAGAGACTAACAAAGAAGCACCTCATTGTCTCGACACCAAGGAAATGCATCTGTTACTTCAAATGATTAGAAGAAACTCCCAAGGCAATACTGCTCTTAAAAGTTTGTTTTTCTAAAACCACAACTTCTGTTTGCCTCTGGCTCCTCAGGCCCACTTAAGACGACTATAAATGAAGCCCCGCCCCCTGGCCACTAGGCCACGCCCCCTTAGGTACCAACCTCTACATTGTAGGGCCTTTCAATATTGAAGGACATTTCTATTCACCAATAAGAAGTGAAATTTTTGTCAACGTCCGGTGAGGGGTAGGACTTCCTTGCTGTTGCTAAGACACTCTTGTTTTGCTTCTTGACAACACTGGCGGGGTTGAGCTAGCAGCGGCCCGGGCTCCAGCCCCCGCGGGAGCAGGTGAGGCCCCGGGGCTTGGCGGGCAGCCGGGTGGGGAGGGCCGGCCCGAAGGGGAGCCGGGAAGCACCGTGGGGCTGGCAGAGCCTCGCCCACCGCGGAGGCCCCACCCCAGTCTCCTCCCTGCTGGTCCTCAGCCCCCGGTCCTCCCAACACCCGTCCTCCCAACACCCATCCTCCCACTTAGGAGACCTGCGAGCTCTATGGGTTACAGATTTGCGGTTGCGTTCGGCGGGCCGTTTCTGCCTTCCTCCTCCGTTGAGGCCCTGTCCAGCGTTGCGTTCCCCCATACTCTCCGACCCGAACCCCATCCCCAGCACCCGATTCCCCCACCTTTCGCAGGGTAATTCCTCCCACTGAGGCTGGGCCTGTGGTCGCCAGAACCTTGGCCCAGACCTCTTGTCTTGGACAGTAGTAGGCGACGTGCTGGGATTCCAGGTGGTCATTTCCTTCCTCGGGCCTCAGTTTCCCCATCTGTAAACGAGAAGTTGGGTTGAATGATCTCTAAGGCCTCTTCTCTGACGATCGAGGATGTGGTTCTGTGACCCACCTGTAGGCTTCCCTGAGGACGTGCTTCCCATTGGAGAAATCAGGTGAAACGAACTTGACAGACCCGGTTGGGATTCCCAGTGGCAGGACCCGAGCAAGTTACCCAACCTCCCTGGGCTCGTATACAATCAGGATGCGACAGAGCACCTCCTCTGGGAGTTCTGGGGATGCTATGAAGTATAAAGAGCCCAGTGCAGTGTAGAGTCAGTATTTGTTACTTTCCTTCCTTTGTCTCATCCCCACATTTTCCCCCTCAGAAGTGCCACCGCTCCCTTAGTGTGAACGGTCATTGCTCCCTTTGACCCTCCAATCCAGATCTCCAGCTCCGATCTTTCTGCTGGGTTTCCCTGTGAGGGATACTGCAGGCAGGGGTGGGGTAGAGATGGACTGGTGCACTGGTGTGATGGTTGGACTCCGAGGCTTCCCTTCTGCCCGCGATGATCCCCGGTTCTGTGATTGCCGGCTCCTGATGAGACACCTGCATTTACATGTCTTGCCAGCAGCTTGAACTCAGCAGTTCTAAAATCACACTGGCCTGTGCTCTCCCTATCCATCTGTTATACGGACGCTGTTCCACCTCCTCCACTCTAGGTGAGACATCCTGTGTCTCCCAGGGCCGGCACCACCCCCTGGGGCATTGTGCTGTCATGCGTCATTCTGCCATGCCCGTCCCACTCAGTCGTCCCCAGGTTGCTCTGATTCTGCCTCAGCAAGGATCTCACGTCCCTTCATTTTGGAAGCCACCACTGGGTTCCAGACTTTAATGTCTGTCACCTGGGCCATAGTTGTAGCTTCCTTACTGGCGCCCCTATCTCTAGTCCCTCCTCCTAGTAACTCAGTTATATTAACAGAATAAATGCCCCCCAAACACAAGCACGTCACCAGCCCCGAAGAGACTCCAAAGGGCTTCTCATTCCCCACTGAAATATGCACACTTCACAGGCCTGGGTTTTCGGGCCCTTCCACTCCTCCGCAGCCTGACCCTGCCTTCTTTCCCTGGCCTTCTTCCTCCCATCTCCTTTTCCAGCTTCTGCCCTCCAGCCTCGTTGGACTCTGGACTCCAACAGAAAATGCTAGGAGGTTCTATTTTGTTTGTTCCTCTCTTCCCAGAAGGTCTCCCTTACCTTGTCTACCCGTCAAGATCCCTACTCACTCACCTTGTAAGGCCGGACTCAAACACTGCCCCTCTCCCCACGCTGTTCTTACTGCCCTCTCCCTGCCCCCTCTAGAGTTCTCCTTTTTCCTCTGTGTGCACCTGCTTTGTGCCACTTACTGCTTTCTGCCTCGAGCCACAGTCAGCTCCTCGTGTGCGTGTGCTGCTCTCTCCGATGGTACACTCCTCGAAAGCAGGGACCGCCTCTTGCCCAGAGTGGACTAGATGGAAACGCATAAGCTCAAAGTCATACATACCTGATCAGACCCCAGCTCCTCCATGTGTCAGCCGAGTGGAATGTCTCTTCCCTTGTCTCAGCCTGCACGGCCGTCAGAAAAGTGGGGGTCACAGCGCCCATCTGACAGTTATTGGGGAGCCCACGAGGCCCCACAGGTGGAGCGCCCGTCCTGTCACCTTGCTTAACATCAGTGTTCAGCATGTGGTGTGGAGTGAAACGGTATGTCCTCTCCCCCGCAGGGGCCGATGAACTGTGATTTGGTCACAGTGTAGATGTCTGTTGGTCTCCTGCCGTGCGCCCCACACCGGACTTCACGAGCTGGGGCATCTACAGTGGAGGGAAGTCCTTCCCCGCAGGCAGCTGTCCGAACTCACAGCTTGCTGCTAAGTCATGACTGGCTGTGAGATGTCACCAGATGTGAGCAATTGTGAATGACATTTTTTGAAATAAGTTTATGCTAAGTCCAATTGATGTGTGTGATAATGTCACTCTTAGTCTCTTGCGTTCGCGTCTGTGCTTCTCAGTGGGAAGGGGGCGGTGGGAGACTGTGGAACCCGCTGTCCGTGGTAAGAGCTGTTCCCGGGCGGAGCGCGTGGCTGCGGGGGTCGTGGCTTTCTGTGGCACTTCGTGTCCCCACCAGGATGTCTGGGGTGTCGTCCACGTCAGTGTATGACCCGGGTCAGTGTTACTTGTTACATCATGTTACATAATCGCATCATATTATACATAAAGAAAATGTCATTTTTTAACTTTAATCCCTCACTCAGTTGAATTTTTCATTTGTTGATTTGAGCGAGAAAGAAACATCGATGTACTATTCCCTTACTTATGCATTCATTGGTTGCTTTTGGTCTGTGCCCTGATGGGGACACCTAACCCACAACCTTGACCTATGGGGACGACTGTCTAACCAACTGATGTTCCTGGCCAGGACAAAACACTGTCTCGATCTATCCCTCCCTCCCTCCCTCCCTCTTTCCCTGTCCCCATGGTCTAAGGCACATCAGAAGTTGTCACTGGACCTCAATAACATGAGAAAAAATAAGGGCAATTTTTTAAAAAACCTTTGTGTGTATATGAAAGGCAGCTATCTCTTCCTAAGAAGGGCTGTCCTTTATTCTGCAACCATGTGCTTCTTACTGTTAACACTTTCCTTTGTAGTAGGTGATGGAGTTTTTAATGCTCTTAGCAGAGTTTTCCAGTGCTAACCCTGTGTCTGCTTCCCCCATTTTAAACCGACCTGTGGCTTGGGGTCTCCCAAGCCCTGGTCCCGGCCTCACCACTGCTGTGTGGGATGCAGTGTCCCCAGACCTTAGTTCCTCTCCCCACACCTTACCAGCTGTGCTCTTTGGTTGCCGGGGCAGAGGGTGGCCGTGGCAGGGGAAGGCAGGAGGACGGTCAAGGAGCGCAAGCTGTGTCCCTGACATGGCTGGAAGCAGGGGCCACGCCTGGACCGGTGGCTCGGAGGACCGAAGCTGTTTGTGTCTCTCTCTCGTGTCCTACTTGCTTGTGACAGGGGAGAAGGCACAAAGGTGGAGTCAGTAGACTCGATATAGGTTTGGATCCTGGCTCTGGCATTGCTGGCTGGGCACCCGTGGGCCCGCGTCAAAGCCTCTCTGAACCCCGGGTGCCTTGTCTGAGCACTGGGAGTGGTGCTGCCTCCACGGTGTGTCACGGGAGGAAATGGGATGACGGGCGGGGAAGCACAATGTAGCCATTCCACCTCGCCCAGCCGCGGCCTGCGCGGGGTGGGAACTGGAGTGCAGCGGCCAGTCTGGCCGAGTGTGAGGATGTGTAGTTGGCTGGCGTATGAGGAAGGACACTGGAGCTCCCCGTCTCACTGCACCAGTGACAAGAGTCTGCATTTACTGTAGAGTCTCTTCTTAGTCCCAGCTTCCAAACGAGGAGACGGAGGTTTCCAGAGGTCAGCGCTCGTCGGAGACAGACGAGTTGTGGATTCAGATCTGCCCGTGGAGCCCGCCCTCCCAACCACGCACCCGCTCTGAGTGTGCCCGCCTTCTCCCAGCTGCCTGGGTGTGGCAGGCACTGAGTGGCAGGGGGGCGCCCCGGAGGGCTGACAACACTCCGAGCCTAATTTCCCTGAATCCATTCATTCCCCCCCCCCACCATCCCTCCCACGTTCCCTAACCCTCTTAAGGATTCTTCCCAAATGCTCCAGAAGCCAAATAATAAAGGGTGACTGAGGACAGTGCCATAAAAGAACAAGGGACAGTGGGACAAGGGATGCTGGCTTTGACAAGGCCACAAGAGGTGAAGAGCCCTGTGACTCTGGTTACCTAGGAGCAGCCTCCCTCAGACGCGGGCGAGGCTGCGTGGGCACACAGGGGCCCATGTGCGCCAGGGCGGGCCCTGGGGCGGGCGGAGCCCCGGCACCCACAGACTCGAATACCCTGGCCGCGGGCACTCCTGCATTATTGAAAGGCTCTCTTTTAGGCCTGATGTGCTTCTTTCCGGCCTGGAGCTGTCAGCTGCACTCTCATCTGCATGGAAGATCGATGCAGTTATTAAACTCGAGCTCTATTTTGGGTGGCACTCCTTCCGCAGGGTTTTGAGTCATGTCTGAATGACTGTAGCTGGACTCCAAGGATACTGCGTCATAAAAATTCTCCTGCCTCTCCATACTTGGAGCACCCCCCGTAACTGTGTCTTTTCACTCTTTAAGTGCTGTCCCTTCGGAACCCCCAAAGTGCCCGTAGTTGTTACGAAAAGCTGTTCGCATCCATGGTCTTTAATAAGCATGGCTGAGTCACACTGACAGTCCTGGCTGGTGGCATGGCAGCAGGAAGAGCAGTGAGTTGGTGGTCGTTCAGAGAGCTTTACGTTTTTCAGACGCACACGTGCACACCCTTGGTCCCGCAGCAGCTTCAGAAGCCAACACGGCATCGTCCTGTTTCCCAGCGGAGGGAACCTGGCTCAGGATAAACACTCGCCCAAGGCTGCAAAGCGAGGAAGAGGGAAGAAGCACGTCAGTTATGGAATTGGTGCGGGAGCCCAAACCCGCAGCCTCCTGGTCCTGCACCTTTTCCACTCCGCAGGGCCATGCCCCTCCCCCCAGCACTCCCAATGGTTTCTCCCCTTTGTTCCTGAAGAGCGGGCTTTGGTCACACTCCTGTCTCATCGGGACTCCTGATGCTGACGGGGAGTCTGAGCAGCTGCCGCAGACCCTGACCTCCCTGAGCGCAGGCACGCGTGGTTGCCTCTGAGTTCCCTTCCAGGCCCCTCCATGCTGGCACTTCCTAGGCCGGGGAGGAATTGACTCAAACTGAAATATGTAGGTGGAAGGTGCCTAAGCAGCTGCTTCAGCATTTTAAGTTGTTCCCACTTGAAAATCTCAGGGGGCAAACAAACCCTAAAGCCCTTACCCTCTGAGCATCGGTGTAGCCACCACCTTCTGCCCTCTTGGAAACGGGGAGGAAGCGATACCATGGACCTGGAGACAGACCTTGATATCCATGAGCAAAGACAAAGTGATTCACTGGACTCAGATAAGGAGCGTGAGCAGAAAGTACAATGAGCTTGTGCTTGGTGATTTGCCAGCGTATAGAAAGACAAAAACTACTAATATCCAAATGATGCGAGCGCCCAGAACTGAGGAGATAAGAGGAGCCATCTGTCCACCGAGGAATCGGAAAATGCCAGCGTGGTGGGACGGTGGCGTTGGCGGCAGGCTTCCCGCCCCAGCTGAGGGAGCGGGCGAAGTGGGATGGCGCCGAGGGCTTCCGAGGCATCGGATGGTGGGAGAGAATGAGAGCGCAGCCAGAGGGAGCACACAGAGAGCTCGTTGCTTGGCCAGACGAGGTCAGGTCAGCCTGGGGACGGCGGAGCCTGAAAGGGGAGATCCGCCATCTGTCTCCCTGCTGGAGCCCCATGAGCCACACTAGTGGCCACACACTCAAAGTCAGTTTCGTGGGCGCCTGCGGGAGGCCAGTGCCCTGAGAAGGCCTTAGGAAGGGTTAGGGGTGCCCGCCCTGGAGCGTGGCACAGACTCATACCCTGCTCTGCTGGTCCCTCGTGGAGAGACCTCAGGTGGGCAGCGTAGCAGCTGTGTGCCCCTGTTGGTACAGGGCCTGACCCACGGGCTTGCTGCAGCGACAGGCTGAGCAGATGCGCGACGCGCTTCGAACAGTGGTCGAATGTCACCTGTCCGTGCCTACCTGTCAGTTACTGTGCAAGCATCCCCGGGGTTCGGGGCCTATGCCGTGAAAGCGACTTCATTTGGAAATGGGGGACGTGCTGGAATAACACGTCTCTCTATTTGTTGGGTTGCTAAAGAGGGTTTAACAACCTGGAGGTTCATATTCACTTGTGTTTGCACTTCCTCTGAGATAAAAAAGGCCTTTGAATTATAGGATAAATTGAGTTATAAGAAAAACACCAGGATTCAATGCTCCTCGTCCCTTAGCATCCAGGCCCATCTCTTTAGGAAAAGCCCCATCTGTTGTTAGATAACTGGATTTGGAAAGACAAAAAGTGTATACGTGTGCATCCGGCTTTATAACTTTCCAGTCATAGCCACGTGCATTCTCTCACTTGATCCCCCCCGAGTGGGAGAGCGGGCCAGCGAGCTGAGTGCTGGCCACGCACCTGGCCCTGTGACCGTGGCTTCCACGTGTGGTCTCATCTGATTCTCAGAACAGCCTTGTGAGACAGACATGCCAGCCCTCCTGTTGCTGCTGAGGAGTGTGAGGCCCAAGACCACGCTGTGGGGAGCAGCAGCAGCGGCAGCTGCCTGCGACTCCTGGGCCAGCCAGCCAGGGCAGGGTGGCCTGAGGGGCCGTGGGCAGGAAGAGCTGGAGAGCCCGGCGTGCCAAAGAGGACACAGCACCGCTGTCCCGTTCCTCCTGCAGATCAGGGGCCTGTGAAAGGGGGCCTTTGCTCTCCCATAAGCCCAGGACTGTGGATCGTGGCCTGATAGGAACTTTAATCACGTCTGCTGGAAAATAAGACCACGCACGTAGTGGGCACGCAGAGAGACTCTGTTTGTTCACGGCCAGCTCCCGCTCCGTTGCCAGCCTGGCCGGCAGGCAGTGGCTCCCCTGCTGACGACAGTGTGGGCTCGCAGCACCACGCTGGTGCGTGCTGAACTGGGCCCAGCATCTCAGGTTGACTCATCCGCCCGTCTGCAGACTTGCTGGCCATTTGGAAAAGGATGCGGAGGAGTGAAGACTGGGAGGTGTCAAGTTGTTACTGAGACATTTCTAATTTGTGATGTGTGGATTTAAAGCCAACTCTCTTGTCCTGGTTTTTCCTGTTTTCTGCAGCACCCCTTGGGGAAAGAAGTTTCTGCTCCTGCCAAGCTGGCAGGGCCTGCTTCCTGAAGCGCCTGTGTGTGTCTTCCTCACCAGTCCCAGCACCCCCAGAAAGCCCAGTCTCCTCCCCGGCCACAGTGGAGGGATCATGGGAGAAGCGGAAGGGAAGAAAGATGAGGCTGATTATAAGCGACTGCAGACCTTCCCTCTGGTCAGGGTAAGCCCCAGGGGAAGGGAGGCGGGGCTCCAACAGGGCCCATGCGCCAGAGCAAGGTGGGTGAGCCAGTGGGAGGAAACTCAGAAGGGCTTTGCTGGCTTGGAGCTGGAGATACAGAAGTCGACAGTAATCATTCTTTCATTCATTCATCCATTCAACAAGTATTTGTTCAGGCCACTCACTATACACTGGGCACTGTTCGGGGCACTGTGGGTATAGTCGTGAACAAGGCAGACCAAGGTCCGGCCCATGTGAAGGAAAGGTTTAAACAACATGGTTTCCAAGTAGGTTTATGGGAAAAGCAAGTTCTCTTCTCGGCCTCTGAGTGAGGCTGTCAGGCAGTTGGATGTAGCAGTCTGGAGCCCAGAACTGATAAAACGGGGATGAAATTGTGGGACCCCTCCCCACAAATAAGTAAATCCATAGAGAACAGGCTGGGACCTCCCTCCCCACAAATAAGTAAATCCATAGAGAACAGGCTGGGACCTCCCAGAGAGCAGGTGGCTGGAGGGGAGGGAAGGGCGGGGACGAACGAGCCCAGGGCACTGCAGCCCTGGGGCAGGGAGGGGATCCAGCAAAGTGGACTGAGAAGCAGAGGCCAGAGAGGCAGGGAGAAAACCGTGAGCCATCTCAAGCGGCCGGGCTGTCTCTTCGGGCTTCTGGGCTGAGGCCCGGCTGTGCTCTGAGGCTGCCAGTCAACCATCTCTGCAGCCGGCACTCTTCCTGCCCGGGCCGGCCCCCTTCCCCAGGTCTGCGGGCTGGCACATGGTGCTGGTGAAGCTGCTTGCCCTCAAGGAAGGGCCTGGGCGTTAGAGCCCACGTGGCTCCGCTTGAGCCCGAGCCACAGTTCCCAGCCGCACTCCCTGAGCAAGGAGATGGGTTACCTCTGTGGGCTGTGCCCAGGGCCGTGCCGGGGCATTTGCCCAGTGTCCAGGCCTTAAGCTTGACACAGAGAGGCCAGCCCGGAGACCAGGCCGTGGGCTAAGCCTCTCTCTGTTTGTCACCCCCGCCCTGTCCCTAGCACTCGGACATGCCAGAGGAGATGCGAGTGGAGACCATGGAGCTGTGTGTCACGGCCTGTGAGAAATTCTCCAACAACAACGAGGTATTGCCACTGGTCAGGCAGCCCCTCGGGCCTGTGGTGACCCCCGTGGGTGAATCAAGCACCCCAGTCCCCACAGCCAGCGTAGAGAGTCCTGCTGGGGCCAGGCCAGCGCCTTCCCTGGGAGCATCTGTAGCCTAGGGAAGGCCGGTGAGGGAAGAGGCTGGTGCTGTCTGCGGGCACCGATCTGGTGCCCACACCCAGCCCTAGAGGCACAAAAGCCAGAGGGGTCTTGGTGATGTCCCTACCCCTGTGCCCTGTCTTGGGTTGGCTGCTGAACAGGGCGCCTTTCCCTTGGCTCCATGCCAGCGGAGAACAGCCCCCCCCCCTCCCGGCACTCATGCATGCATCCATTCATCCATCGGAAAAGGTCGGACACCATCTCTGCGCCAGGCACCGGCCTGGGAGCTGGTGATGGGGCCGTTGGGCATCAGCGTGGGGATCCCAGCCGTCGGGCTGGTGGCGAGTGAGGAGGTGGTCAGCGTCACAGCAGCCAGCGGGGAGGAAGACCCTGGCCCATGAGAGACCAGGCCAGCCAGGCCCGAGTTCCAATCCCACCCCCAGCCCTTCCCAGCTCTTTAACCTTCGTTAAGCCGTGTCTCATCTCTGAGCCCGTTTCCTAGTTGGGGGGGGGGAGGGTGCTGCGCCCTCGGTGGGCGGCGGTGAGGGCGTGTGTGCAGAGGGCATGTGGACCAAGTACTCGGGGCACCTGGCACCGGGCCAGGGTGGCGCTGCTGGTGCTCGGCAGGTGCCTGAGCCTGGGACCTGTCCCACGGGGACCAGGGCCTCTGCCCTTCCCCCGACCTCTTCTTGAAAGAAGCTTCCTGAGGGAGCGTGTGCAGGAAGGGGTGGGGCTGTCGCCCTGACCCGGGAAGCGGTCCAGCTTCTCTCCCGGGAGCTTACGGAACCCTCAGGAAACAGCCTTTCTGTTCCCTGAGGATAAACCTGACACCCGCAGCCACAGTGACAGTCCTGTACCGTCTGCAAAGGGCTTTCGGAGGTGTGACTTTCTTTAGTCCTGGAAACAGCCCGGGACTGACACCAGAAACACGCCGAGTGGCGGGCCGGAGCTCGAACCCAGGGCCCCGTGCCCTGACCCCACGCCTGCTCCGCCCCCCGAGACGGTGTCTGCCTGACCAGTGAGGCAGTGTCTGCTTCCCCGTCCCTGCGTGGCAGCCCCTGACGGGGGCAGCCGCGTGGAGACCCCTTGATGGTCCGGGAGCAGGAGAACAGCGTCGACAGGCCAGCAGGCCTTGCTCTCACCGAGACTGCTGCTTCCCGTGGGGGGGCTGACTCGTGCACCCCCCCACGCCCCAGCGAGCGTCCCTTCTGTTCCAGAGTGCCGCCAAGATGATCAAAGAGACCATGGACAAGAAGTTCGGCTCCTCCTGGCACGTGGTGATCGGCGAAGGCTTCGGCTTCGAGATCACTCATGAGGTGAAGAACCTCCTCTACCTGTACTTCGGGGGGACCCTGGCCGTGTGTGTCTGGAAGTGCTCCTGACACGGCCCCCCTCCCCCTGCCCCCGACCCTGCAGGGCCTGTTCTTGCCTGTCACCTGGCATGGGGCCAGCCCCAGGCAGGCCCTCGGCTCACGAAGGAGAGCGTGGTGTCTTTCTTTTGTCCTGTGTGCCCATGTCCTGAGCCGTGCCCAGTGTGTGAACATACTGACATCTCTACCCCAGGCCCCCAGCCACCTCCCTCCGAGTCCAGGGTGTGCGGGGGCAGCAGGCAGTGGTCTCCGTGCAGGGAGGGCAGGGAGACGCGACAGGGTAGCAGGAGGGCGGGGAGGTGGAACTTTTCTCCCAAGGACATGCCAGCCCCTCCTGTCTCATGGGCCGAGTCCCCTCGCACCTGGGAGCCCCCTGCTCTCCCACCCCAGCACTGCTGGCAGGTGTCCACTGTCCTCGTCCTGACCGACCATATGCAATGGCCCCAAGAAAGAGCTTCTCCTCCCCAGGGGCACTGGCAGCTTCTCTCCTGTCCTCTGGAGAAGTGGTGACTCCCCAGAGCCCCATCCCCACCCCCGACGCCAGGCTTCGTGAACCTTCTCCGCTGCCTCCACCTTCGCAGTTGGTGTCCAGTGGCCGAGGGCGTGGGGACTGCCGCCGAGCAGTCTCTCAAGGTGCCACGGAGCCTCGGTGAGCCGCCGGGCCAGGGGCGTGCTCACCGAGAGGCCTGTTTGAGCAGGGAACCTGGCCTGCCAGCACTTCTCATCAGGGACCGCATGCGCTTTGTACTCCTGTTCCGCTGGGTTTTCTATGTTCTTTCTGCGTGGGGGAAGCGTTTTAGTAGAAGGGTGAAGCCTATTTTACATAGCGTTCTTATTTATATAAATGTCTTGGTTTTTACAATTAAAATGGCCAGAAACTGACTTGGTCTGTAGCCTCTGGAGGTTGGGGGAAGACGTGATCGGGACCCCCAGCCTGTGGTGTCCCCGGGGTCCCAGAGAGACGCCTGGCCAGAGAGCGAGGCTGCTGGAAACCCTGGGCCCAAGCACAGCGCTTGGCCCCGCCCAGCACGGGGCCCTGTGGACACTCATTCACTGGGGCAGCCTCGGTGGCCAGACCGGGCTACTCTAAAGACGTTTTCAGTCTCACGTAATTTAGTTCAGTTAAAAGACACTTTTCCAACAGCTACCGAGGGTGGGAGAGCCGCAGACCTGCCCTCAGTGAGCTGTCGGCAGACTGGGGGGACACCCATGACGGGAAGTGGCAATGGATGTGATACAACGCTAGGACCAGGTGTTCTGGAGGGAGGAGGGAAGGGCTCCAGGCACAGCCGAGGGAGTAAAGGACGGCCTCTGGCAGGGTGAGGCCTCAAAGCCAGCTCTTGAAGGGAGAGTGGGCTTCGGCCGGGGGGGGAGGGTGTTCCAGGCCGAGGCATGGGGGAGTAAATGCAGGGGCGAGAGTGACTTGCTGGTGAGGGGGCCACGTGGCAGGGCCCGGGCCTGGCCTCTGAGTCACAGTCTCAGGCCTGAGACCACTGGACACAGGCAGAGCTGGGCACCTGTCCTTCTCCCCAGCCCACCTTCCTCCCACCCGCGGTCCCTCTCCTTAGATGGCCTGCGCAGGGTGGCCCGGGAGTCCTGGCCCCTGGCCCGGTGATGCTGTCGTGAGGCTGAGTCCCATCGTAACGAGACCTGCTGGCCTGCTAAAGCTTGCCCGGACGGACAGAGACTAGTGTGGCCGGGCAGAGGGAGGAGCCCACGGGTTTGCTGAGAACCAAGTGCTCGCTGGAGTTGCTGCTGCCGTGCGAACCGAGGGCAGCCGGGCAGACCAGACGAGGAGCCAAGAAGTCCCTGTCACTGCCTCACAGCTGACCGAAGCCCTCTGGGACTTGAGGCCAGGAGATGGGGAGGCAAGGTGGCCAGCTCCATGACCTGGTGCCTGCGCTGGCCAAGCGCTGCACCCCGCCAGGTACTCCCCAAGAAGCTGACAAGGTGCAGGTGGGAATGAGAGGGGACAGGGGCAAGGCCTGGAACAGCTATTCCAGCTGAACCGGTGATTAACCGCCTGCTTTGTGGCTCTTCTCGCCTCTGATCTGCCGAGTGTGGTGCCAGAAAGCGAGGCTGGGCAGTGGGGAGAGTGGGCTCCGAAGTCTGGAAATCTGGCTGGGGCCCAGCCCTGCACTTCCTCACTCTCGGTGCCTCGGCTGCCTGTCTGTGGAATGAGGATGGAAAGCGCCGGCCTCCTGGGGCTGTTGGGAGGCCCTGGTGCGTCGATCTTACCGCGCACTCCTGGGCACGCTGCTTTGCTTTCTGCTGCATGGGGCTGGGGAAGGGGGGGGCGACCCCCAGCTCCCTCAGCACCGGGTGGAAATCCAGCACGGTTAGGCTGGTGAAGGGCGGGCGAGCAGACGTGCCCTAGCCAACACGCAGGACAGGCCCTGTCCCCACCTTCCCCTGCCCACCCACGCTCCCGGGGGTCAAAGGGCGGTGTGCTCGCTGTCGGCCCAACCCGGGGACCAGGACCCTGGCAGCCATGCTTCCCAGGGGTTTCCTTCCTGATCTCAGTGTCTTTACTTCCCTCCTGTCCCCCGAGGCCTGTGCCAACCAAAAGCACCCTGACCTTCCTCCGGGCCACCCAGCTCACGGCCCGTGATTCAACGAGCCTGCTGACAGAGGCCTGAAAAGGCAAGGGGACCAAGCAACGAAGGCGGCACCATCTTGACGCCACAGAGCCTGCGGTCTATTGAGGGAGACAGACCAGGGAACAGTAAAGCAGGATGCATTTAAACCGTCTGCCCAGAGACGAGAGAGGGTGGGATTCAGGAGAAGGGGGGGGGTTCACGGAGGAGAGCCACCCTCACTGCGCAGGGCACAGAGGAGGGGTGGGGTGGGGGGTGCAGGGGAAGCCGGGGCAATGCTCAGCGAGGGGAGGGGTCGGGAGTGAAGTTCAGAGGGTGCGAGACGGGCCAAAGGCGAAGGGATCGCTGGGGTTGAGGAGGAAGAGATGCCTTTAGCAGGCACTGGGCTCCCTCCCTGTGGCCACGATGTCCTCTGTTTGTGATGGACCTCCAAGGTGGTGACCACTTTCCCCATTTACAAATAAAGAGGCCCAGGCTGGAGGACAAGGCATCATGCCCAGGGTCCATCTAGGCAGCTACCAGGGCCAGGCCCTGAATCCCGGCCTTGCCATCCTCCAGCGCCCTGGGCTTTCCTGGCACAACTGCCTCTGTAGGTCCTCTGTTTACCCACACCCCCGCCGTAAGCTGGGGTTCCTGTGGCCTGTCCCCAGTGCCTCAGTCCTTCTGGCTTGTAGGGTCTTCCTCAGGCCTGCACCATGCCCTCCGCTCACAGCTCAGCAGCCCTGGGCATTTCCTAGGCAGAGGCAGGGACACAGCCCCTGCTCCGCTGCCACCTGCGTGTGGGGAGCGGCTCGCCCACTGACTCCTCGGCCCTTCCTCCTGGGCCCAGCCAGAGTCCATAGGGGGAACTGGCAGCCTTTCCAAGCACATCCGGAGGCCAGGTCATTGCCCCCAACCCACAGCTCCCTGTCGCTCCGCTGGAACAGCAGCGAGCCCCAGCCAGGCCAGAGAGACCCCTGCCCAAGGGGGTTGCAGACTCCAGAACCCAGGCCTCACCAGAGGCAGGCAGCAAGGCCGTCAGAGCGGGAAGGTGAAGAGCGAGGACCAGTACTGGGCGCCTGGCAACCGGGCCTGTGAGCGTGCTGCCAAGGGGGTGGATGCCGCGGAAGCTTTGGTGGGGCGGGGCCTGGAGAAACCTGCTGGTGAATATTTCATGTCGTCCTGGGAGTGATGCAGGGAAGCTCCGGTCCCACTGCTCCTGCCTCCTCCTCCAGGGAACAGCCTACGGGCTGGTGGGGGCGTGTCTCCTTGGGTTGTAGGGTCCTGGCCCAAACCGGGACGCCCTGCCCCCAGCAGAAGTGACTGTGCGGTGAAGCCAGGCTCCTCGGGAACAGGAAGCAGCACCCTGGCCAGAGTGGCTCAGGGGACTGAGCTCGGGTTTGATTCCCAGGCAGGGCGCCTGCCGGGTTGCAGGCCAGGGCCCCAGTCGGGGCTGTGTGAGAAGCAACTGACCATGTATCTCTCGCAGATCGATGTTTTTCTCCCTTTCCCGCTCCCTTCTCCTCTCTGTAAAGTAAGTAAATAAACTCTTTAAAATAGAGAAGCAGCAGCAGCAGACAGCACCTGCTTCTGCCCTTCAGACCCCTCCCCAGGTCTGGGAGGGGACTGTTCAAAGTTCCGCCCCAGCCGACCCTTGCTCTGTTTCCCTTTTGTTCTTCTCATTGCATATTTAGAGCGACTGCTTCCCACTGCCAGCTGCTGTCTTTCATCCTTAGAAAGGCGGGGGCGGGCGGGTTGGGAAGAGAACAGGAGGCAGAAGCTCTGAATTGGTATTAGTAACATTTTCAGACTGGCTGGGCGGCTCAGTTGGCTAGAGCGTCGCCCTGATAGGCCGCGGTCGTGGTTCCATCCCTGTCGGGGCGCGTACACGGGTCAGCCACCGAATGCATCGATAAGCGGAACAACAAATCGAAGTTTCTCTCTAAAATCAACAAATTAAAAAGTTTTAATAGTAATGATATTTCCTAACTATTGGGAGTCCCAAGTGCACCAGGCACTTCACTGAGCATTTTCCACGTTCTAGCTCATTTAATCCTACATCCGCTCTGTGAGGAGGTCACTGGAGCCCAGAGAGGCCGAGGTCCAGGCCACACAGCAATTAAGCGGCGGAGCCAGGATGCTTTGTGGGCCAGGCCACTCCGCTTCCTCACCTTCTCAGTGTCCTCACTGCAAAACCGGGTTCGAAGCTCCTGCCCTGCCTGCTTCCCAGGGTTGCTGTAGGGCACTGGGGAGACGGTGGCCGCAAATGTGGACATGTTTTAAAGTTGGAAGGATCTGGGTCAGGGTCAGTCTGGGCAGCCATCCGCCAGCCTTGGGGATGGTCAAACGGATGGCTAATGGTCAGATGAATAGACAGATGATGGGCGGATGCTGGGTGGAAAGCAGACGGATGATGAGTGGGTGGATGGGAGGATGGATGATGGAGGAGTGGAAAAGTCTTCAGGAAGCTTTGAGCAACAGGGCATGCGAGGCAGGAGCATCAGCAGCGACTGGGTCAGGGAATCAACCTTGTCCCTTGAATTCTGAAGCATTCGGCCACTTTTCCAGGCCACTCACAGAAGACCTCAGGTTTGTCTGGGACTCGCGAAGTCATTTCACTTTGACCTGGTCCCTAAGAAAAGGCGAGAGTCCAGAAGCGGCAGGAGGGGATTCCTGGGAGTGAGAGCTTCGCTGGAGGGCAGTGAGGCAGGAAGAGCCCAGGCTTGCAGTTAGCCCTGAACTCCAACACCAGCTCCACTGGTCAGCCACATGACCCTGAGCGAGTTCCTCCATCTCCTGAGCCCCCTCCTCGTGGGTAGGATGGGGAGACACCCTTGTACTCTCTCCCCAGAGGTCCTCGGGGGCCAGGGTGTGGCGTGGTAAGGTGGGTCGAGGTTAGCTCCCGTTGTTGGAGCCTCTGCCAAGTGCTGCCATTGGCGGTGAGACATCAGCTCGGCCCCCACACCCAGGTGGGCCTGGGACAGCCCCTCTCAGTCCCTCCTGCTGTCCTGCTGGTCTTCCCAGCTGTCACTCAGCAAACAGTTAATGTGCTCTGCCAAGGTGCCAGGTCCTTGGGCAGGGAAAATAGGTACCACTGTGGCCCCTGCCCTCAGGGCACGGAGTCAAGAGGACACACACTCGGAAGGGGCGTCCCGGAGAGCACTGTGCAGGCAGAGCTGCAGCTGGGCCAGCAAACGCTCAGGAGATGCGAGTCCCGAGCAGGAGCCCCTGATAGCACTGGCGGGGACGGAGCCTCCCCCAACATTCCCGGTCTGAGGCCCTTCCAGGAGCCCAGGGGGCCTTGCC